TTATGTGTTCGCAATGTCCTCACATAATTTATAGAGAATAGATACTATATTTTTTGCTTTTACCACTGGAAATCTGAGGCAAACTGTAATAAGTGCTGCATTGCCAATCATAAAATCCATTATCTTCTTATTCTAAGTTTGGAGATTTTTCTACTGGCTAACATCCTCTTAGTAATAAACAATGAAGAAACATTTTCTGAGCAATATTAGTCTGCAACTTTAGAAAACAAGAATAGTAATCAGTCAATATCTGAGCACAATTTTCACATTAATAAAAGGTATTAAATCATTTAAAAATAATTCCACATGCAATATAACATTATAATAAGTATGATTTTCAAAATGTGCTAAAAATTTAGTCAGGAAAGTAAGTTTCTCAAATTATAGCTGAAAATCACCAGTATCACAATCTTGACTTTTCATTCAGATTTTCCTAATTAAAATTTATATTTCCCTAATTCCACAGAACTAAAAATAATTTAACAAATAAAATTCGTTTTACTTCAAATGCTTGCATAAATAATATAAAATCATTTTAATTCTTGAGGAAGTACCATTTCAACTTTTTAAGTATGAGGTGTAAATTAATATTTACTTATTTAAATTATAACCTGAGTTTCACATATGAAGATTAATAAGATTTAAGTGTAGTTTATATTACTGTTAACATAGACTTTAATTTTTCAAATGTCACATTTATCTTTCATTATTTGTAGATTTATTTCTTTTATGAAGTACTCAAATGAATCAGCTCACCCTTGACTGTAACAAAATACTGTTTGGTGACTTGTGACAGACAGGGTTTTAACCTCTGACAGCGAGATTCATTGTGGAGCAAGAGCCAATCATAGATCCTGACGACACTTGTCTCATCAAAGTTGGAATATAAAAAGCCACTTGGAATACAGTATAAAAGATTCACTGGTGTGGCAAGTTGTCTCTCTGACGGTACAGGCATTAAAATTTTGCTTGGCTTTACTCAACAGCAAAACAAAAGTAAAAGAAGGAAATAAGAACAAGGAAAAAAAATTGTATTGATTTTAAAATCATGCAAAAACTGCAAATCTATGTTTATATTTACCTGTTTATGCTGATTGTTGCTGGTCCAGTGGATCTAAATGAGAACAGTGAGCAAAAAGAAAATGTGGAAAAAGAGGGGCTGTGTAATGCATGTACTTGGAGACAAAACACTAAATCTTCAAGAATAGAAGCCATAAAAATTCAGATCCTCAGTAAACTTCGTCTGGAAACAGCTCCTAACATCAGCAAAGATGCTATAAGACAACTTTTGCCTAAAGCTCCTCCGCTCCAGGAACTGATTGATCAGTACGATGTCCAGAGAGATGACAGCAGTGATGGCTCCTTGGAAGATGATGATTATCACGCTACGACAGAAACAATTATTACCATGCCTACAGAGTGTAAGTAGTCCTATTAGTGTATATCAACAATTCTGCTATTGTTCTAATGTTTATGAAAACCGGATCTATTTTCAGGTTCTTTTAACAAGCTGTTGGCTTGTATGTAAACGGGAGAAAAAGAGTTTTTTTCCCTCAAGATTTCATGAGACATGTACTAATGAGGCCAATATCTGAAAATGCTTGCATAGCACTGTTATTTAGTTTAATGTGACAAATATAACATGCTTGTGCTTTCAAAGCTTAATACCACCAAAGCAACTACTGAGAGATACTACAAGCAATGTTAAAACTTTCATGAAATTTCATAATTGCATTTGGTTGCTTGAAATATGCATTTATAAGTAACAACTTTTTTCACTAAGAATAGAGCGAGAAAAAAATTTGTAGAGGTTTAAGCCTATTTGAGCATGTGCCGAATACCTAGAATGACTTGTTATTCAAAGCTATTTCTCACAGTGTTTTTATGTTCTTCACAAATAAAATATTTAATTTTGAAAGCAATTACACTAGAGTATGAAAAAATATTTTTAATATTTTAATGTATTAATAAGAGCAAAAATTAAGTAATCATAGCATAATGATTATTATGAATTAAATATCAAAAAATGCCTAAGAAATAAACATTTTAAACAAGTAGGTTCTGGCTTACAAAATCCTACTTAGACCTTGACCATGGTACTACTGTTGTGGGTACCCAGTCTGCATATTTCCAAGCAGCCACACTGCTTAATAACTTTCTAGAATATTATTTCATTCTTCATGGAGAGAGGACTAATACCTGTAATATCTATGTTGCTTCTGAAAGATAATGTATTTCATACCATTCCTTTTGCAGTCAGTTCAAAACTATAGTCAAGGAAAGGGAGAGAAGCACCTCAGGAGAAGGCATGACAAGAAAAGATTTTGTGCCATGTGTCTGTGATCTTGCTTTATACAGTGCTTTATACACTCTAAATTGGACTTGAAACTATTTCAAAATACTGCTTTCTTTATTAAGTAATCAGGTTATAATGCAACAAGTAATTTTCCTTTAAGACTCTGCTATCAGATAGTCCTGGAGTAGATTTGCTTTATTTATAAACAATCTTGGAAAAACCAAGAGGAAAGAAATTTCTAAGTACTTCTGCTTACACTGATAGCCTGGCACTGAGGATAATATTTGCTAACTTTTGAGACAGACTGAATGGAACATTTACATTTTGGTGCTAAATACCTGCTTAGTTTTGTTCCTTTAAAAGGCTATTCCAGAGCCAAAACGTAACAGATGTAGTATATTTTCTACTAACTCTCCAGGCTCAGTTAGCTGCTCAGTGTGTCTTGTCCCCAGGTAATTCAGGCCTGGGGGAAGGGTTCCTTCTTCCAGACTGATTGGTACAGCTGCTCAGTAAGTGTAACTACTCAGATTCCCAAAGAATTCTAAGTGGATGTTCCTCCACGGTGTCTCTTGTTCTCTCTAATCATCATCATTTTAAAATTTCATCCACTGTTCATTCCTTCATAGAATTGTCCTTAGTCCACAGCTCTCTGGAAAGGGAGTAGATTCCTCATAAACAGCTGGAAAAACATATATCTAAAAAATCCGAAAAGCTAGAGTAATTATTTTCTTTGATATTTTTCTGAGTTTTGAATAAAATTCTACAGATGTTTTCATTTTAAAAGACTAAGTATGCACTCATTAATCTAATAGAAAAAATATTCACCACTTAGTATGAAGGGGTTTGTTCATTTTTCATGAGAAATAATTTCAATAACTTTTCTTTTCTTATTCATTTATAGCTGATCTTCTAACGCAAGTGGAAGGAAAACCCAAATGTTGCTTCTTTAAATTTAGTTCTAAAATACAATACAATAAAGTAGTAAAGGCCCAACTGTGGATATATCTGAGACCCGTCAAGATTCCTACAACAGTGTTTGTGCAAATCCTGAGACTCATCAAACCCATGAAAGACGGTACAAGGTATACTGGAATCCGATCTCTGAAACTCGACATGAACCCAGGCACTGGTATTTGGCAGAGCATTGATGTGAAGACAGTGTTGCAAAACTGGCTCAAACAACCTGAATCCAACTTAGGCATTGAAATCAAAGCTTTAGATGAGAATGGTCATGATCTTGCTGTAACCTTTCCAGGACCAGGAGAAGATGGGCTGGTAAGTGATAACTGAAAACAACATTCTAACAACCTTGTTATGTTCTCATCATAATGTGAATAGTGGAAAATAGCTACCAATTTCCTATGCTCATAGGCCAGACAAAGGTATCTTACCCTAATGGTAGCCCTGTACCCAATAAAAGTAGGTATATAATTTCATATCTTATGAGACACACTCTTGATACTTTTACTTTGCATGAGGATTAAAAAAAAAGTTATACTATAGTCCTTAACTTCTTAGTTAGTTCTTTTGAATTGAGAATGAAATATAAAGTGCTTTCCATGGATATGCTACATGATTATATGAATAAAAACATGAAATCTTTGTGGTGGATTCTAGTACATATTTAACAAATTAAAACTTTTTTAGTTCCCCCATAAGAGTGAAATATGTTGAAATTTTTTGGCTTTACAAAGTAGAAAAATAAACTTTTAAAATTATAATTAAAATAAAAATGCTTTTATTTATAGCAATTAACTAAGTATAACATGTTTAGGCTTATATTACATATACTATATTTGAGGTCCCTCATGATAAATGTTATTTTATAGGCTGTGAATACACTGATGTATATCTAGATTACTTTGTGAATTATGCTAATAAAATTAAATTTCCAGGCTAGTTAACCTGTGCTGCTCAGCTTATTTCTGAGCTGCATCACCATTCTTTTGTAAGAGTTTACTTAGGTAATGCCAACTAACTTAATATCAGGCCAAGCTACTGATCTTTTATATATTATAAAAAATAATAAAACAAATTTAAAACCTAGTATAAATTTAGTGACTCATGTTTCTGGCTTACCTATGCTTGTGTTTACTCCTGTTTTCAAAAAGTTATTTAATGTGACCATATATTTCACTTCCATCTATTGACATAATTTATAACAAAAGATTATATTTGCAAGCAATAAATGTTTTCTATATTTTTAAATGATCTTACTTATAAAGAATATATAATTAGTCAGATCTACTTTAATAAAAACATAGCCTTTAAGAGATTATGTAATTTTCCAATGAGCTATTTTTCTTTAAATATGCTACATAAAATGTTACTCTCAAAATGGTGTTATTGTTTTTATAATCTTAAAGAACAATTAACTACTAGGTTTATTTTGATTTTGGTATAGGATAAAAAACTACTATTAATTATTTAAGAAAATGTTCTTTTTTTTTATAGGTAGCCTTTTAATGATCAAAGTTAGTGATGCGATAGGTTTTGTTATTAAACAGATGGTTAATATGACGTATTCCTCAGATTTTTCTATGTAAAAGGGAAAAAAGTCTCAAATGCATGAAAAGATTGGAGCAGGGAAAGGATTAGAAAATTATTGTTTAAATTTCTGAATAAAAACATTTTTCAGTGAAAGAATAAAAGAAATATTGTACCTTTTTCTGAATCTGTCCCTCCCTCTCTTTAGAGTTTCTCTTTCTAACCCACTATACATACCACCACCTTCATCACCCTACCTTCCTTTCCCCTTTTACAATCCATATAGTGTGCGGAGGCAACTATTTTGTTCTGGCGTTAATATCCAAGGTTTCCTGAGTGGAGGATGGATGAGTATACCTATCCCTCTAGGAGTCATCAGACTTATTCAGCCAACATAATTGACAAGTGAGAAGAATGGGAGTAACCTCTTCCCTCTCTCTTCCCCTCACTCTCTATTCTCATAAATATTCTGTAAATATTTTCAGAGCCTCTATTACATGCCAGGCATTTGGATAGTCAACCTGGGGAAAACAAAAATTAAAAAGACATAGATCCGACCACAGGGGAATTTGTATTGTTGCTATACTCTTTTGAGCCATAAGAATCAAGCCTAGTGTAGATTAAAATTCCTTAATGTTGTCTTTTAAAAATAAATGTGGTGTAAGAAATAAGATTAGTTTCTTTCTTCAATAATGACTTCTTGAGGTAGAAAAGTGATTCAGACTATTAATATTCTGATTGTTTTTTCCTTTTTATATAGAATCCCTTTTTAGAAGTCAAAGTAACAGACACACCGAAAAGATCCAGAAGAGATTTCGGACTTGACTGTGATGAGCACTCAACAGAATCTCGATGCTGTCGTTACCCTCTAACTGTAGATTTTGAAGCTTTTGGATGGGATTGGATTATTGCACCCAAAAGATATAAGGCCAATTACTGCTCTGGAGAGTGTGAATTTGTATTTTTACAAAAATATCCTCATACTCATCTTGTACACCAAGCAAATCCCAGAGGGTCAGCAGGCCCCTGCTGTACTCCCACAAAGATGTCTCCAATTAATATGCTGTATTTTAATGGCAAAGAACAAATAATATATGGGAAAATTCCAGCCATGGTAGTAGATCGCTGTGGGTGCTCATGAGAGTTTCATTTGGTTCATAACTTCCTAAAATATGGAAGGCCTTCCCCTCAACAATTTTGAAACTGTGAAATTATGTACCACAGGCTTTAAGCCTAGAGTATGCTACAGTCTATTAAGCACAAACTACAGTATATGAAATAAAGAGAGAATATATGCAATGGTTGGCATTTAACCATCAAAATAAATCATACAACAAAATGTTTTATGATTTCCAGAGTTCTTGAACTAGGAGATCAAATTAAATTTATGTTCATATATATATATGTGTGTATATATATATATATATAAAACAACATATGCAGGTAAATGAAAGCAATTCTCCTTGTGTTCTAGTGAATTAAAGGAGAATGCTTGAAAGTCTATTTCTTTAGAGTTTCATTTAGTATTTACAGAAAAATCTATATATAGTATTGGTAAAGTGCAGGATTGTTATATACCATCATTAGATCATCCTTATACACTTGAATTTATATTATATGACAGCATACTTGGTAAGATGAAATTCCACAAAAATAGGGATGGTATATCATATGCAAGTTCCCATTCCTATTATGATTGGTACAGTACATTAACAATCAATGCCAATGGTGCTAATACAATTGGCTGAATGGCTGATGTTATCAAGTAGAAAACATTCAGTAAAATAACAAGTTCCTTCTTTCTTCAGGTGCACTTTCATACACCTCCAAACAGGGAATGGATTTTCTTTAGTAAAAGAAGAATCATTTTTGTAGCATACTTGGAGAAACTGCATTATCTTAAAAGGCAGTCAAAAGTATTCATTTTAATAAACATTTTAAAATTACAAAAATTTCAAAATTACAGCCCGCCTTTGCAACACTGCAGTTTTTATGATAAAACAATGAAAATGACAGATTCTATCAATATTGTATAAAAAGACTTTGAAACAATTATGTTTATATAATATGTATACAATATTGTTTTGTAAATAAGTGTCTCCTTTTTTATTTACTTTGGTATATTTTTACAGTAAGGACATTTCAAATTAAATAAAAGGACATGTCATATATGACAGAAAAGCAACTGTTTATATTTCAGAGCAAATTAGCGGATTAAATAGTGGTCTTAAAACTCCATATGCTAATGGTTAGATGGTTATATTACAATCATTTTATATTTTTTTACATTATTAACATTCACTTATGGATTGATGATGGCTGTATAATGTGAATGTGAAATTTCAATGGTTTACTGTCATTGTATTCAAGTATCAACGTTCCATTATTTTAATACTTATAAATATTAAGCATACCAAAATGATTTCACTCTATTATCTGAAATGCAGAATAAACTGATGATACCTTAACAAGAATTGTTCATTTTATTTTATAATTCTATAATGAATATATTTCTGCATATATATACTTCTGATTTGTAAATCAGGATTTTGTTAATCAAATTTATTGTATTTATATGACAGTGAAATTATTTCTTGCATTTAATGTGTAGAAACAATATAAATTATATTAGAGTGTTGAAAGACACAACGGTTTTATGTTATGAGGGTTAATTCTGGATTTCTGATTTTTACTTTATTACCAAAGTAACAGTTTAGCACAAAAGTTTGGTTTAGGAACTTTAGGTCTGCTACTCTGGTTCTCATGAGTGAAGTTCCTGTTAATTTGGTCCTAGTCAAGTTGCTTTACACATACAAAAGTAAGAACTAGTTATATCTGTTTCATTTCTCTTTATCGTGACCTGAAAACTATTTATATGTTTTCATAGGTTCAATTTCCAAATGATTGCAGTTGGCAAGGGTATGTGGTCCTAGAGTTACAAGTTCTACTGAAGCCACAGGGACACGGGGAAGCTGCATCTTTTTCTTAGCACTTTAATGATACTGGCACATTTATCTGAGCTTTGCGGGCAACAATTTTTAAATTGAATTGAAAAATAATTATAAAGTGCCTAGAAATCCTTAAGTGCCACACTATACATAAATGTTTTTGAAGTGCACACTCTTCTCCACACCTCACTGGTTTAGTAACTTAGTCTAATCGGAGAGGTGATTAAAATTCTAGTGTCATGGTTCCTAAATAAAATATTATAATTAACACAAATGTAATTTTTAATCATCTATGATATTACAGCAATTTTTACTCATACAAAGTATAGTACTTTTTTCCAATTTTAATGCTGACATATTTAACGTTGACATGGCTTGAACTCTAAGGGGGTTGCCCCTGTGGGGGAAGCAGCCAACTATGGTGATGGGGTGAGGCCACTTCCAGTTGCATACAGTAGAATCTACTTCTTCCAGGGCTGTGAATATACACGGCCCAACAGTCTGGGTCAGCAGGCTCATTAACATATCTTAGGCTTTGGAGTACAAATAACTGGTGACCTTGACCTCTATGGTGGAGACTGTGAGGAAGGAATACTTTCAGTTTCCAGGGACCCAGTCACAGGACTCCCCAATCTTTATATTCATCCTTATCATGGAGCCCCAGAATCACATCACCAACCTCACTATGTGGTAGCCTATATGATCATGAAAGAAAGCATCAGGACCAATTTGGAATCTATATGATCACGAAAGAAAGCATCAGGGCCAATTTGGAACATATATGATCATGAAAGAAAGCATCAGGACCAATTTCTTTTGTGAAAAGACCTAGGCAGTTCTATTTTGCTGAGGTCCTAAAAATGGCAAGAGTATTCTATTCTTCCAATCTGTCTATGAGCACATTATTTTCATTTTCAGTATACTCAGAATATTCACTTGTGATACATGATACTAATCCCTGAGATTTTCAAAAAACACAATGTAAAATTCAATGCAGTGTATCAGTTTTAATATTCTGAATATTTTGTTATACCTCTCACAAACCTATATTAGTTAAAAAAAATAAAAGCAAACCTTTCCAAACTCTATAGTTTTTTTTGTATTCAAGTTGGTTTTTGCACTTCTGCATAAAAATTTATTTTATTAAAATAAAGCAATAATTTGACATTGACAGTAACTAAATTAGAACTCATTCTATCCCTCCTCCCTGACAAGATGAATTCATTTCACTTTAAACCATGATATGACATTAGGATGTCAATGACCCTTTTGAAATCTGTTGAAAACTAGGGACACTCTCACCAGAAAAAATAAAACTCCATTTTACATATAATTTCAAGGAACTTAAGGTCTTCCTAGAGCTCATTCACAGAACCTAGCTTATAAAACCTTAGGAAAGATACTGAATTTTCCTTAAGATAAAAATTATTATTTATGAAATATATAAAATGTTTATAAAGACCTATTTTTTAATAAATCAGTTTTAGACACTAAACAATTTGAGAGTTGGAAAAGGAAAACAAATATCAAAGCAGCCTGGATGTCTTCACATGGCTAAAACCCTTCCTTATTTACCAAACCATTCTATGCCTCTCAAGCATCATCTAATCACCAACTGGCAACTCTGTGATAGATAAAACTAGACAACTGAATATAAAGCACTAAATTATGAACTCACATTCTTCTTATGTGTCAAAAACAGAATCAAGAAATAATCAGGGCTTCTGATATCTGGGTGTCAGAATTAGGAGAGTATGAGACAATATTTATTGAGTACCAGATTTATGCCAGGCACTTTTCTGACATGCTTGGTGTAAGAGACATTAGTGTCCCCAATTTACAGAAGAGAACTCTGAGGAACTGAGACAATAGGAGGTATCTCAGCAGCCAGGTTTGGATTTGAACTAACAGCAATAATGATTCATTGCTCTGGTTATAACAGTACTTCATCAAGCATTGATGGAAGACTGAAACTATGTTTTTTAATGTTTATGCTTTGTAATATAGCCTTATCTGGATTTGCACTGGTTTTTGCAAAAGGTCATGTGGCTGCATTTTAGTGAGGGAGGGGTAGAGTTACTAAGAATGAGAAGGTGGATAAAGAGCAGGTGATTTGCAAAGCAGAAAGATGTACACACAGAAATGGAAATGGGTCAGTGTTGTAGGCTGTGAGAGCTAGAGAAGACCTCAGAGATCATCTAATTTACATATGACAGAATTGAAGCCTAAAGAGAGGGTTGCCCGAAGTCATATAGTGAAGTGGTTCAAGAACCAAGACTAGCACTCTGAAATGCCAGAGTAGAATGGATGGTGGGTCAGAGTAAGAGGAATGATTCCAAAAGACAAAATGCAGTGCCATTTGCGGAAACGTGGATGGATCTTGAGATTTTCATGCTAAGAGAAATAAGTAAGACAGAAAAAGTTGCGAACTGTATGATTTCATTCATATGTAGGATATAAAACTGAAAGAAACAAATGAACAAGACAAAGAGTTTCATGGACATGGACAACAGTTTATGGTTCCAGAAGGAAGCAGGAAGGGAGGAAAATAGATAAGGCTAAAAGGGGTCAAATATGTGGTGATGAAAAGAAACTTAACTTTATGTGGTGAATATACAATGCAATATATATATGACATATTATTGATCTGTATACTTGAAACCTATATAATTTTATTAACCAATATCAATTTATTATTAACCAAATAAATTTAATAAAAAATTCAAGTGACAAAGGAAGAAAAAGATTATACATCATAATCAAATGGGGTTCATTCCATGGGTGCAAAGATGGTTCAACACACGCAAATCGATCAATGTGATACACCACATAAACAATATAAAGGATAAAAATCATATGATCACATCGATAGGTGTAGAAAAGCATTTGACAAGATACAGCATCCATTTATGATTAAAACACTTAATAAAATGGGTATACAAGGAAAATATCTCAACATAATAAAGGCCATGCAAGACGAACCCTTAGCTAATATCATACTTAACGGTAAAGAATTGAAACCTTTTCCTCTAAGATAAGGAACAAGACAAGAATGCCTGCTCTCATCACTCTTATTCAATATAGTATTGGAAGTCCTAGCTAAAGTAATTGGATAAGAGAAAGAAATAAAAGGCATCTAAATTGGGAATGAAGAAGTCAAATTGTTACTTTTTGCGAATGACATGATTCTTTATATAGAAAACCCTAAAGACTCCACCAAAAAACTATTAGAAACAATAAA